TTTCAGTCATAGTTTTCAACATGGCTTCTCGTCACTTACTCAACATGGAAAATAAGGGATATTCTGGCGCGTTGGAAAGTTTTTTGATGGGAGGAAATGGCATTTTTACAGGATATTTGGACGCTTCGAACTCTGTGGCAGTCAATTCGATCGAGAGCAGTTGACTTTATTGATGCACTTTCCTGTAATAGGCGAGTGTTTGGGATGGAGAACGACGGATTTTGAAGAACTGTATGGCGACCTAGGTCAATAATCAATGACAAAAGAACTGGCTCGGGAAATAGGTGGTTTTTATTTATCGAGTCCCTGTGAGGTTTGATGAATAGCAGAATCAGTACTGAATATGTCTCGATCGAGAGCAGACGGGACCATGAGCTCCTGATTGTTATATTTTAGAAATTTTACAAATTTCCATACAGTTTCTTTACAAATTTCCATACAGTTTCTTATATTATTTGTACGCCATTATGGACGAAATGCGCAAGCGCGGCCGCCATCTTGTCCAATATTTCTGCCGATGATCAGATCTGGCGATGTAAGTCTTGATGCAGACAAGACAGAAAAATGACTATAGTTCGAGAATTAATTAAACCACTTGAGTGTGGGATGGACATTCCCTAAGGACTCAGTCTATCTTGTCTCCTCGTTTTCTCTTCGAGAGAAAGAGTGGTACATTTTCAGGGCCCTTATTTTTTACCAAAAAAACACTCAAAGAGTTTAAACTTGACATTTTGGACCTTTATTGCAGTAGCTTACGTTAAATACAGCTTAGTTTTGTAAGGCCTCTTTAATAATCACTACTCTAATGGCCTTTAATTTATTGGCAAAGTTAATCAGCCTTGGTCCAATGTCCTTCCCGGTCTTCATTCGTTCCAACAATAATTTCAAAATAGTGAGGACATTTCCGTATTACATACGTTCCCGCCAGTTACTTTGGGGGCCAAAGCTAAACCGCGCCAAAAATCCTTGAGACAGGTTATTTTGCCTGTGGTTGTTGATTCAATATTATAATAAGGAAACTAATTTATCGCTTTGAGTGGTGGGGAAGGGGTTTGGATGACTCAAGGTGGGGGGGAGGGTGTTGTTTTCGTGTCATAACTCAAAAACAAAAGCAAGATACCTTTCGACAATATGTGAAAGCACAATTTTGTGTCAAGAATTCCGAAAAGTAGTGATTGGAGGTACTGGGACAATCGTACTTAACCAGACCAGGACAGCAGTCAGCAAACACGGGGTTATTGGTTTCGTATTCACAGGGATCTGTTAAGTGAATAGAAGATGTTTTAGTCGGGGGAAAAAGGTGCGTGTGACAGTAATTCACGCGAGTTAGTTGCGTGGTTCACGCAAGGAACTCGTTCACATCTTATTGGAGAGTAAGTAGAACAAGATTGAATTGCAGTCCTTCCGATCATTTTGGAGTTGAAAAAAAATCTAGACAAACATAACGACTGCGTGGGTGAATGGAATGACAAACAAGCGTAAGGGAAGAACTGGGATGTATAAGACATACAAAGATTTTTAATAAGTACAAAATAAAACTGATTTGCATCGACAATAGGATGTTCATAATGCGCTGATAAATTCGGAACTTTAACACCCCCCCCCCTCTTACCCCTGCCGTCGTCCCGAAGGGGATTTAAACCTTGCTCAGCTGGGGTGGGGAGTCTTTCCATCGGAATATAGGTTTTATATCTTTAAATATGGAGGCGTTTAAGGTAAATAGTTCACTTTCGCAAGCAAATGGCCCAGAAGAAAAATTCTACAAGTTTTAAAGCTTGGTCAATGAGTAGAAAGTTACGCTCGCTGATTTGGCCGTTTACAAAAACATTGGGTGGGGTATTAGTTGTACACAGTTTTTGCCCTGTGGGGCGGAAATTTGAACAAACCAATTTTCAAAAGTTCAAATACACGGGGAGTTTCCGGGAGGATGTTGATCGATGCATTTCAAGGAAAATAACAATAAAAATGATAATTGTAATGATGAAAACTATCATAATGATGATAATAATAATAATTACAGAACACGGCGAAAACCTCTGATTTTTAATCATAAACTTAATTGTAATAGGAGTCAATGTTACTTACCACTGTTAGGTTTATGTTACCTGCAAAAATGTAACAGCAAAATAAATTGAGATAAGAAACCAGCTCAAATTTAAAAAGGATTTAACTTCACTTCTGTTTTTTTAGTAACAATCAGTTTCTTAGGATAATAATATTTTACGTCTGGCCATACTTCCTATAGTTTTTGCCACGTAACGACACTTTTTGGGATTAATTAGTAAGCACCGTGGAAACATTGACAACGAAAATAGAAAACATTGACAATAGAAAACGAAAACCCAAACAAACATAACGACGAGAGCTTAATTTTTAAAATAGGCAATTTCATATTTTTCAACAGCTTCGTCCCTATCTCTGTGAAGCATGGGACCTACGATGATCGAGAATTAACCACAATGCCCGTCGGAAAACCCAATCGAAAGGTCTGCGGACGAATCCAGGTAGAGCTTTGAGTTCCTTAATTTTGGGGGCGGGAGCAAACTGGAGGGTGCAAAAACGTAGTTTCTCTCTCCACTCAAGAATAGAAGTGACCATGATGGCAAACCGTCAGGGTAAGCTAACTGACCGGTTGTTAAGGGAGGAAGGAATGGGTGGGAGAAAGGGTAACCTGTGCAACGGCCGAATACCCCGTGTATGAGGAGAACAAATCGAACAAATAGCTCTTCAGGTTAATCAAAAGTTCTTACCAAAACTGAAATCAGCCAGGACAAACAACAAAACGAATGAAGACCGGGAAGGACATTGGACCAAGGCTGATTATTTAGTTATTTATGGTCGCTTTCGCAAGTTTATTTCCGCTCACTCTGAAAAAAATCCATGGTGTCTTTCCGAGTTTTGAATTCACACCTTTCATCATCTTTTGTGAAAATGTCAGGTTTTAATCTGCATTTCTTTTCCTCAATCTCAAAACCAAGCAACTTTCTGAGCTCGGAATTTGTGAGTACTTAATAATTTAATTTTTTAATTCTTTACTGAAATCAAAGAAGTTTTCAATGATTTGGCGCTTTTTTTACTCTCTTTGCTATGCAGGATGAATTCAATGAGATCATTTTTGGTTTTCACAACAATACGTATGACCTCTTATGTCTACTTCTGTTGCCACGTTTATCATTTCAAAGATTTTCATGCTTTCCCATCTGTTCTTCAGACATTTGGCATTTTTTTTTGTCTCTACCCTTTCACTTCCATGAGTGACCTAGACGCAATTTCTCCTTACAATATCATACAATATTAACCAGATAAGTGATGAGAATAAAGAAAAATATCAATTTGGGGATAATAAAGTGATCCAATACTAAAATTTAATTATCTGAACTAACATTATAAGAAATTGTATGGTTGACAATAAGGAGCATTACAAATTTGATCTGGGATTTAAAGAATTAAATATAAAAGAAAAAATATTTGTTACTGAGGAAAGATGTCGCCATATTCCATAATAAAACCAATTTCATTTTCATCGGTGGAGAAACAGACAGGTGGTTTCTACATCTGTCTGTTGCATCAGACAAATTCTGGAACGTTTGCATACAAGCTTTAGTTGTCGCGGACGTGGTAAAACATGAACAAGAAACGTTTAACAGAGTTTTCGAATTATCTTGAGGCTTTTACGCAAAGGATTGTCACAAGATTCCCAAATGCCCAGGATTTTGTTGATAATGAAACGACGCAAATGGTGGAAAGATTTCCAGAGCTTATTCCAACAGAAGTTGAAAGTCGCCCAAGTGAGATTTCTCGCATCAAACACGCGTTGGACTCTTCAGTGAGCGAGGAAAGACGAAAGGACTACTTCGGCGTTGAAGAGGAAATCAAAAGAGATACACCAGAGGAGTGCGTTCAATCCATAAATAAGTTGTCAACTGCTATTGGAAGCGCTCACAGAGACATTTTGTTTTATTCTTATCTACAAGGTGAATTGCTTTCACTCTTGAAAGACTTCTATCAGTCAACATTTCCTGAGATATTGCGAAATGATATCAAAATTTCAAGATCGCATGCTTTTTTCCTCATGAAATTTTACAAACTTGTCTCAGATTTTCCTAGACTTTTGCGATGCAAACTGCCGCTGAACTTTTTCCAGAAAAACATTTCAGCTATATATTCAATTTGCGAAAGCGAGAAGAATATTTGGACGGACGCAAGTTAGCAACTGCGGAATTAAAAGATCAAGAAATAGAAAACAAGAAAAAAAGTTATGTAGTTGGTTTTTTTAATATTCATGGCTAGTCGAGAGTGAGCCTCTAATTTTCAGCTTAAGGCTCTTTCGTATCGTAGTGCATGAAATATTTAATAAGCGTGGAGGTGATTAAATATTTAGTTGTGTTGAATTTGCATATCATTTCTCAAGAACAGAGTGAACCCATTCGATCTCTTTTCAAATTCCAATCTTACTTCATTATGTTTACGACTGATCCTCACTTTTTGGAAATTCTTCTTTAATCTGCTTGGTAATAGAGTCAACATCAGCTTCATTTGCTATTCTCCTAAGCTGATTTTTTTAACGAATAACATTGTTCGATCTCATGCAAATTCAAGTCGAATTCAACATCAGAGATTGATCCATCTTTCATTCCTTTTGAAAACAACCTGTTGACTGAAAGGTGCTTTGCCTTAGCATTTAAAATTGTTTGCTTGTGCTTCGTGATTTTCGAATTAAGCTTTTTGCTCTTGACAATAAGTGCTATTGATATGGAACCAAACCAAGCGGCGAGACCTGCTAGAGGCGGTCCTGCAATTATCCCAATTCCACTCAGAGCAGCTGCCAGCACCGCTTGGTGACAAAACGGCAGCAATGACACCAGTTATTTCACCACTACTTTCCAATTTCGGACACTAGTGTCCAAAATCGGACACTAGTCTAATATCAGATACTAGTGTCTAAATCAACACCAGACAGAGAGAAAAAATAAATTTTACTCATAGATAAGGAGAGAAGAATCTAGTTTTAGCTAATACTCTTTATTGTCAATCAACTCAGCATTCCGTTCCATTCTTTTCTTTTTTCAGTTTTAATGACTGAATTTATTATTCATTAAGGTGAAATAAAAGTTCTGTGCAATAAACAAAGCCTCTGGATATATAATGAGGTTAATCTTCAGCTTGATTTTCTGATGGGCTTCATTACTTTGTTACTGCTGCAAGTGAAATTTCAGACTATCAGTCTATATCATAAAAGGGATGGAACATCGGTGGGTTTGTTACTGCTGCAAGTGAAATTTCAGACTATCAGTCTATATCATTCTTCAAGATTGAAATGAAAATTCTCCTTGGGATGGAACATCGATCTTGTGCTGACTAAGTATTTAAATTTATTTGAGGCGGAGGGGTGGGGGGTGGAAGCGGACGGCGTAAAGATTCTCCTTGTTTCGTTGCAGAAACTATCGTTAGTGCAACTTGAAATTGTTCTGGCAAATTTTTCCTTAAAATCTCTGCCGTTTAATATGTTTTCATCGATGAAAATTTACACCGAGTTTGAGCTTTACCCTGGATTCACCCTGACTTCCTTCCGAACACATTGTCCCTGGAGTCGGGGTTTTGCCTCCTTTTTTCACAACAGCATTTTTATTCCATGTTAACCACCATTCTAGTATATTACTTGATTCTAGCCACTGTTACTGTTTTTCTCAAACAGTTACTCAACTCGAGTTTGTTTCAAATTACTCAAATTAAGAGCAAGTGTCAGCATCTTAAACAAAAACAATTAGAACAAATAAACAAAGAGAGAAAAGACGGCGGTAACGACATGATCAAGGAAGTAAATATAGCACCCAAGGCATCTTTGATAGCAGGCATGATTCTTACGACCCTTCAACAGACCACTACTTTTTTTTAAAAAGATGTCTATCTATCTATATCTATATGATAAGCTGAATTAATTATAAACACGCATTTGATTGGCTGTTGCTTATGAGCTATTGGAAGACAGACGCAAGGATGACGTCACCATTAACAAAATTTTCTTTTTTAATTATATAAAACAAATAGATTGCAGGTTGCCGTGCGTCTGTACAGTAATAGATCACAGAAGCGTCTAGAACATCAATGAAACGCCCGGCTGCATCTCGTATGCTTCATTTTGGTTCTCACTACATTTTGATGTCATCTGTGATCCATCATAGAACAGACGCACAGCAAAAAGGTATCTATTTCTTTAAAAGCAACAGCTCAAAATACTGTGACGTAGCTTGAAAACACTCACCTCAACCGCAGCGTTCACATGACTTAGGACAATAAATGTCCATAAAATCTGCATGTTCCCTACACATGTGCTCTGTTGCTTTCCTTTCACAAAAGCTTGTGTAGAGAGGATGGTCCACACATTCTGAAAATAACACATTAGAAAAAATAAACCGAACGAGTATATTTACAAATATACTGCGCAATCTTAAGGAGTAACGTGTAAGCGGGAATGTTATCAGAGAATCAGCAGATTGTTGTAGTACTCTACCGGCATTCTTTGGGATTAGAACCTAGCAAGTCCCAAAGACACAATATGCCCGACATAGATGAAGTGCTGCATGACTAATTACAAAGACTGGCTGATGACGAAAGAGTGACTTGTGCCTCTGGGTACAAGAGTGCTGCTGGACTTAAGGCAGAGAATATCAACAATGAGGAAAGAGTGACTTGCACCTCTGGGTACAAGAGTGCTGCATTATTAATGGCGGAGAATAACAACAATGACGAAAGAGTGACTTGTATCTCTGGGTACAAGAGTGCTGCATTATTAATGGCGGAGAATAACAACAATGACGAAAGAGTGACTTGTATCTCTGGGTACAAGAGTGCTGTATTATTAATGGCGGAGAATAACAACAATGACAAAAGAGTGACTTGTATCTCTGGGTACAAGAGTGCTGTATTATTAATGGCGGAGAATAAAAACAATGACAAAAGAGTGACTTGTACCTCTGGGTACAAGAGTGCTGCATTATTAATGGAGGAGAATAACAACAATGACGAAAGAGTGACTTGTATCTCTGGGTACAAGAGTGCTGCATTATTAATGGCGGAGAATAACAACAATGACGAAAGAGTGACTTGTATCTCTGGGTACAAGAGTGCTGCATTATTAATGGCGGAGAATAACAACAATGACGAAAGAGTGACTTGTACCTCTGGGTACAAGAGTGCTGCATTATTAATGGAGGAGAATAACAACAATGACAAAAGAGTGACTTGTATCTCTGGGTACAAGAGTGCTGCATGACTTATGGCAGAGAATAACAACAACGACGAAAGAGTGACTTTTATCTCTGGGTACAAGAGTGCTGCATGACTTATGGCAGAGCATAACGACAATGACGAAAGAGTGACTTATACCTTTGGTTACAGGAGTGCTGCTCGGAAAGATGTTTGCAGGTTCTGGTTGAACACAAAAAAAAACAATAATAATTAAAAGTCAAACACGATATTATCGTTTTATGTGATGCTCTGAAAGTAAAATCAGTTTTGGTAAAGGATGATGAGAGGAGGGAGAAGCTTCGAAAGAAGACCGGTATGGGGAATTAATTTTCAGACCTTATTCTCCTCCTCTGTAAAAACTTCACAAGTTGATACTTACGCACGCAAGGATTTCGATAAATTTCGGTCATTATACCCTGCAGATATCCTTCAATATCTTTCACATCCACAACATCGTTATCACTTCCTGTCATTAGCCTCAATCTATTTTTCGCCATACCAGTTCCAATCCCCACCGCTAATACACGAACGTTTGCCTGTCGAAGGGGTCTGGAACTCTCCCTCAAGCTTTTAGCTCCTCTGGATTGTACGCCATCACTTAGAACGACGACAATCTTATATGCATAGGGTCTCGCAGAAGAGAACACCTCATCAACAGCCACATTTAGAGCCCTGTCGATTCGAGTTCTTCCGTTTTTCTTTCGTAGTTTTTGTACAACTTCTATGTACTTTTCAGCGGTATCGTACTGTCCAAGTTGAGCTTTTACACTCGCTGATGAACCGAACAAAATCAGAGCTTCCCGGTTACCAGTTGCTGTCACCTGCTCCACCAGCTTCTTGACGAGGAGTCTTTCCTCGTAGAATTCCGCTCGCTTTATGCTTCCAGAAGAGTCCATGATAAACGCCACATCCATGGGGCATACTAGATTACCCAACAAAAAGATCAGTGTAAACTATCTTTTGTAAATGCTTGGCTAACGCACCTTTCAACATAGCACCCAGGATAGATCTACCTTTTTCGTGCAATCATAAAAAGCCCTTTCAAGAGCTACGGAGCGGCGTAAAAATTTTGAGGCATTTAATCTTTGTGGATTTTCCAATAGACCTTTATCTGAAAAGGTAATTTCCTGAAGAAAAAAGAAATCTGCACGGCAATATACCGCAAATGCGAAACACCAAATGAAAAACTCTGCATGTATCACTTTTCGCTTCCATGAACCCTTCAACTCTTAATATCTTATTGTCAATTCTCTCTTCTAGCTGTTACAGATTTCCTTGTAAATTAGTTATGAGAATTTGGTGTTAGATGAGGATAACAAAAATCTACCTGATAAGTTTGGGTATTCTCATTACCTGTTTGCTGGACAATGTAGGGATATTATAGGGAGAAGTTTGGTGTTAATCTCTTCTGGGAAAAAAGAGTTCAACTAGCACTCTAATTGACATCGATATACGAATCATTAACCCAACCAGCTCTTCACTGATGAACTCGACAAGCCGGGAGAAAATTTTCTTTTCAGTGTTACACTGCTCGAAAAAAGACCCTCAAAATTAAGTCCTGGCTGAAATTTCATAAACTTTAAACCTCAAAAATTATTTGTGGCCAAAATAGAAAGGTAATCCGCAAAACATAATCCTCACAAGATTCCATGTTTCACGGTAGGTCACTGACTGGGTACCGTTTAAATATAAAATGTCTAACTTTGAACTAAATTCAGTCATGCATATTTTTTTTTGGTGATCTTATCCATCCATAGCCACTTGTCCGTTCGTTCGTTTCTTCTTTGATTAAATTGCTGAGTTTTTCTATGTTACCGAACTGCAAGAAATCTCTCACCAGGTGGAAGTGGTTTTGTTCGTTACAAATACTGGCCAACTATATCTTGACATAAATTACAAGGAAAGTGAATGACTTACTGGAGCATGCATATTCATTGCAAGGAACATTCTTCGATGCAGGTCCCAGTCTGGTGCAGTCCCTCCCGCCATTGATTGGTGGGGGATTGGTACAGGTCCTCGTAAGAGTCTTTATTCCGCCTCCGCACGTCACACTGCACTCAGATTCTGACCAATCAGAGTAGCCCCCATCCCTTGGAACTTAATTTGAATAAAAACAAAAACAATAAAATCGCCTCCCTTCCACAGCCATGCATCTCATAAAATCTACTGATAAAAAAAACACTGGAGTGTTCAATATTTGTTTTGAGAGATTAGCCCCTCCGTGATGAGTTCGGCCAAGAAAGTTACTCGGAAAATGGTTGCAAGCCAGGCATTTTTTATTTTTTGTCATGGCAAATAATCCTTTCCCTTCAAAGGCTGATTTCTCTACAATAAATGGTTTGCACTTCAACCTCTAAGGACTGATTCTACGTTAGAGAGGAGAGGTAATACCCATAACACCAAGAAGATGGCGGAGCTTACTTGAAGATGGCGATGAGCATGTGCTTTCCAGGTGTAAAAAAAAAAAGATAGAATATAATCTGCCGCCTTAATCATAAGACAGTCTAAAACGAAGTCAGTTCAGTGGCCTCGAAATCTCATCCCTTCACAACTCATTTCCCAGGTTAGGGACTCGTTCGATTCTTACTTAAGCATGTAATACGCGCAATACAAAGCTGATGACCTTAACTTACTGCATATTTCATCGATCAACTTTTGAAGTTTCTCAATCAATTCCTGATAACTGTTGTGTATTATAACCTTTCCTTTGCTACCAGCCGCTTTTTTCATCTTCTCTTCTGACACATCTTGCCCAATTCCAACCACAATGATTCTCACACCTTTTTTCTTATCGAGAAAAAAATGAGGAAAGAGGAGAAACAACACAGCCTATTACGATTTATAAAAAGGCTGAAGTAACAAGAGCAAATTAAATTGAAATTTCTGCAAACAGATTATATTTTGGAGCGCTGCTAGAGTCAGGAATTTCAAGAATGACCAATTTGAAAATATGCCGGAACACAGAGCCACAAAAAAATTAAAACCACCCTGTAGTTTTTTTACTTTCTCTTTCGATGCAAAGTTAGTGTGTTCTGTGATCGAAGGGTTGTTGAAGGAAATCTTTAAAATGATTATTACTACTATTTATGGAAATGCCAGATATATTGGGGAAATTTCTTGCATCGCAACAAGAAAGTTTTTCCGCATTTATACAAGTTGCCAGCTACGTTGCTCTAGCGACTCTAAAACTGATAAAACATTATCAATTCAAATTACCTCCAATTCTCTCGTGGTGTTTAATAGTGTAATATTAGGTCGTCTATCCCATGTTTTCTTGATGTAAAACTTTCCGTCGGTAAAGATTAACATCACATTTCTGACATCGGGTCTGTCTCCACCTTCAGTAGTAAAGAGCTTTGTCGCTGCCTGGCGTTGAGCCAAATCTGTACGAGTTCCCTCGCGTCTCGAGTTACTACGCAGTGCCTCAGTCACACGTGTCTTCAAGTAGTTTGCGTTATAGTAAGTGCTGTTGGCAAAGTTGTTTACGACACTGGTGTTCCCGCCAAACGTGACAACAGCGACGCGAGTTTTTCTTTCAGACACACCCACTCTCTCCACTACGTCATGAATGGCATCTCGCAGTCGGTGCAGATCTTCTGTTCTTAGACTCTGTGATATATCAGCCAGAATGGCCAAATCCATAGGTATTACACACTCATCTAAAGAATCAAAAGAGAAAAACAACTGAACTCACTTGTTGTGAAAGGTTAGGGCGCCATAGCAGGATTTCCGCTTAGAGATAATATAAACATTACAAAAGTCAAAATGTACTTTGAACAAGAAATATATAAAAAAAAAATGGTCAAAGGTCGGGAGAAAAGGTACAGAAACAGAACACTAAGTTTCCTTTCGCGGTTCAAACAAGTAAACAACAAGAACAAGTAACAAGTTTAATATGTTTCTTTTGGATATTCTTTTATTTTTACAGATTCCCGTCAGAAATCTTTCTCTTTGTAGAGACAAACTTAAAAAAGACGAGATGTTTAGAGACTGTTATTATGGAATCCGCTCGCGTTTTTCACTCAGAAAATATTGAGTAGATATGAAAAATAATACGTCAATCCATGTGCTGTTTTAACCATGCATTTTAAAGAACAACAATAACGGAGCTTTTGATGTCTGTCTACCAACCGTTTGCGTTGAATCGTATGAAAATATTTTCGTTTGTTGTGAATAGGAGACGTTTTCTTTATTTTTCTTTGCATTTTGTTTAAAGAATCCACATGAGTTTTGCCTTTTTCGTCCTCCAAATCTGCCTATTTTCTGCTAGACTTTACTTTAGTTCTCGTTAACGACTAAAACGTATGTGATCTGGAAATATCGAAGATGAAAATAGCAGTAGAAAAAGATACATCAAAATACATCCTTAACAGGGTAGTCGTTAAAGAGCACGGCTCAGAAATCTAAAATGATAAATCCTAGCTGTCATCACAGAGAAACTAGGATTCATATGTAAAACCCGCACAAGGTGCCTCTGTACCAACACAGAGCAGTGAAATTACACGCCTATTTTAATAAAGTTGACGGCTTGCATTTGTTCTTCTTCCCAACAGGTAAGTCAGTTGAGGGAGGAAACAAACGGAAAACATATCAGATATAAGCCTTACCACAATTTCCGATCTGTAAGATACCAAAAAAAAAGACCATGGAGTAAATGAAATTTGACATCGCGGAACTGAAGGTTTCTACACTCTCCTTGCAACTTGTCCTGAAATGGTCAACAATCTCACGACGGCTATTTTTTATGCGTTAATTGACGTTAGAATCAAAAGCTCAGAAACTTATGCTCCTTGACCGCAAAGTTTCCTATCAACACCTTAACTGAATGAGGAGCACTTCATCACGTACTTATACGGAATAATAAGTAATTATTGTTTCTGTGCCAGTTCTCTCAGCATGATGCGTTTGCAGTCTAAATTACAGACGAAAATATTTCTTTTATTTCAAAAATATACCGCAAGTACCTCCACACCATAATTGCCAAATTCTTGGAGTCGAGACACTACGCGAATCTTGTCAAAAGTACTCAGAGCGCTGGAAAAAGTTTTAACTTATTATGATATCAACAGACTGCTAAGATGAGCATACAACGAAAACCCTCTCTAAACATTTCTCGATTATTTCGCCATACATTCAACCCCCGTGCCCTGTTATCAGAGTCAACACCGAGTGAATCATACGACTGATTGACCTGTGATCTCTATTGACGCATTCTGTTTCGGCATTTTTGCTGAAATCTAGTACCTTTAGACTACAAAGATCGAAAATTCAGATGCGTTTCATCGTTCCGGAACTAAGAAATATGATTTTCAGAAGTTTATCATTAGCATGAAATTTTAGTTATCTCTTTACATCTTAACATCGGTATGAATTTTTCAATAATGTTTCCTAAGTAATTCTCATGGTGCTGACAAGGAGAATTTGTTTAACAATCAAAAGCTTCTTTAGTTGGTAATCATCTCCTTTTTCCTCCCGACTTAAATGTGTGATTCGGAGGTGATATTTTAACGAGAAGTTAGATGTTAGTCACTATTACGGGTTAAACGGTTCGCTTGGGAACCTTTTGGTATGGATATCTCGTAGTAAACTTTCAGTGCTACACTGTGGTTTCAGTTACCGGCTTTGGAGACTAAGAAAGTGAAGTTTTGGAAATGTTAAGTAAATTTACTTTCTTGTATCCTGTTCCGATTATTATTTCCATCTGCCTTCAGCCTTGGCAAATAATTCATCTGTTTGCCATTGACAAATCCGATATCTTGTCGACCTCGTCCAAGAACTGTTAATAATTTCCTTTCACGTTGCGAGTTACATGAACTGACCGAGAAGCAACTGTATCAAAGCTTCCAGAGTCGTAGTTTCAGGAGTACCGTTAACCACCCCTATGCGGAAAAACAAGGACGAAAACAGAAAAAAAAAAAACCAAAGACACAGCCTTACAGAAAAGAGAGGCATTTATTACATTTTTGTCAAATTTAACAATGCAATTGAAACCACAAGAAGACTACATCCCCGTTTCTGCGACAAAATGTCCGTCAGTGAGCGGTTGATGTCCAAGACACCCACATGGTCAAAAAACAGTTTAAAAGCAGGCCACACAACAAGCTTAGGCGGTGAAACGTGGCTGTTGCCTTGTTTGGTGCCGCTCCTGCAAAGCACGTTGAAAGATTCTCTTTAAGTGTGCGTACTTTGAAACAAAACAACAAGACATCAATAGACGCAAAATGAAACACAATAACTTAAGTAACTTAAGTTCATTTGTGGCTTTGTTGATTTGTGCCCATACAAGCATGTGCTAGTTTGGCAAAAACTCAATTGCCAATTGCTATATTTACGTCGCAGTAAAACATGACTACACTAACTTCCCTTCTACAGATTTATGGAGCCTTGCTTTGCGTGTCGGTTAAGTGGATGTAAGGTCAAATCAAAGTCCTGTCACGTCCACTGATGAATTCGTCAAATGATGTTGTCCATACAAGCATGTGCTAGTTTGGCAAAAGCTCAATTGCTATATTTACGTCGCAGTAAACATGACTACACCAACTTCCCTTCTATAGATCTATGGAGCCTTTCCTTGCGTGTCGGTTAATGGATGTAAGGTCAAATCAAAGTCCTGTCACGCCCACTGATGAATTCGTCAAATGATGTTTTCCATACAAGCATGTGCTAGTTTGGCAAAAGCTCAATTGCTATATTTACGTTGCGGTAAGACTACACCAACTTCCCTTCTTAGATCTATGGAGCCCGGCTTTCCTTGCGTGTCGGTTAAGTGGATGTAAGGTCAAATCAAAGTCCTGTCACGTCCACTGATGAATTCGTCAAATGATGTTGTCCATACAAGCATGTGCTAGTTTGGCAAAAGCTCAATTGCTATATTTACGTCGCAGTAAAACATGACTACACTAACTTCCCTTCTATAGATCCTTGGAGCCTTTCCTTGCGTGTCGGTTAAGGGAATGAAAATTCAAATTAAAGTCCTGTCACGTCCACGGATTAATTCATCAAGTGATGTTGTTTAATTTACATTAAGCATTATCATATATAAATCACAATGCAATGCATTAAAACAGGTATATTCCATATACACATACCAGTTATATTGAGAGAATAATCCAGCTTCAATTCCTAATTGAGTAGAAAGGATAATATAAATGATCAATAATGCATATTTATATATTCATTCAAAGTAAGCGTCTCTTCGGATTAGTTTGTAAGCTTTGTTTTCATAATCATTTTAGTTAATAGAGAAATAATACATATTAAAAAGGTTTAAGTCGAAGAAAAAGTGTGTGTCATTCGTAAATACCGCTGGATTTTGTGTCAATTATGCAGGCTCAGCTTATATGTCAGTTTAGACATTCACTTTAGGAGCAATCAAAATGTTTCGTTTTGCAGAGGGCGAAATATCTTGGACAAGGTCACTAGGGCGCCCTCAAAGAGATAGAATAGCAGCCGAAAGTAAGAGGTCCAGAGCGGTGGAGTTGTCCGAACGTAACCTTTTCTGCTCAAGTGTAGGTGAACCCTCAAAAAATAGTTTTACCTTTTTGGCAGAATAACAGTTAGAAACTGCTAGATACCAACACTTCCGCGTTGAGGGTTCTTCAGTGCTTACTTCATACATCAGATAACCTAGTGTCAAAAACATCAGAATTAGTATAACGGTCAAACCAGATTATCCGGATTTTTTCATTATCTAGACTTTCTTCCTGGTCCCATTATCTACGAACATTTATGTTCATATTTTCGATTATATGTACGCTCGATTATCCGTACTATTAAGCCCATTCCCCACGAGTCCGAATGATCAAGGCCCGACCGTATCAAAATCAGGCTTATTTCGGGTGCTGAATTTGAGCAGGGAAAGACGTAATCAACGTGAGAGTAGGAGTTACTTACAGTGAACCCGAATCAGTGAACAGAATTAGTCTGTTTCAGGCTCACAGTCGGCAGAGGCAAGCGACAAGGCAAGCGCACAAGATGGCAAGTAGACAGACCCAAAAGGAAAGTGAAAACTCTCTGGCAGCCTTTTTCCTGACTGTGACTTCAGTCGCCGTGCAGCTACTTACTTGCCAATTTTTCGCATGCCCTCTTTTTCGTCTCTAGAAGCCTAAAGTACGTAGTTCAAATTAAGTTAAGCAACAAAATTCTTGCGCTACCTCTACAAGACATAACCAGGGAATTAGTTTCAGACGGGACAAGATGACAACCTGCGCGAGAGTTGTTTGTGGTCAGATTAACAACCTGACTTCCATTCGGGTTCAAACTGTTTACTTTCTCGTTGCAATCCTGCAACACAATGGACAGTTTTAGAACTAGATAAAACAATTGCTTTATGTGAATCATGTACAGTCTTTACTCAGAATTTGTAAGGTAAAATCAAGCCGACCCGAGGGGTCGTATTAACCTGAAAGGCCGGTAGATGAGCGCGCAAAGAGTTTCTGAGAAGTCGCACCTATTCCTCCTATGACAGCTAAACGTTTTGGACTGAAAATCTCAACCGGCTGAAGAAAAGAGCTCTAGAAAGCGATGTAATTGGATTCTGGTCGAATGAACATTAATGAAGCCGGGGCGAAATAATAGTGTCCACAAGGAAATGTAGTTAGGTTTCGTTGCCGCAACTGGAACGTGTAAACTCAAAATCAGAGGCCAATGCGATTTAGTTGAATTCCTTATAATATTTTGTAATGAACACCTCTTTATTTCGGTGTAACCTAAACAGAGAAATTGTTAATCTTTCCTTCGTGCCGTTTAGGTGCTCAAAGATCTTAGAACATCAAGCCTGATACAGGTCTAAATAGTTGAGGCGCAAGTGTTATTAGATACGTTAGAAAATTGTTTACCGCTAATTCGAGCAGCAAAATTGATCTCTAGTTTCGTTTAATCTACTTTTCTGTTAATCCACGTATCCAACAGGCACCTCTCCTATTCATAATAGATTCAAAAGCATCACGTAGAGCTTACGAACGCATAGGCTTCAAATTTCCGGCTTTTTGTCTCCCACGCTGAGAGTGAAGACAAAGGCCGAAAATTGTGATTGTGTTCACAGGCCATATTTAGTTCAAGAAAACCGTCTATAGCAGAGGATAACAACATAGGGTACTTTTTTATGACTTTTAAACTCAGTTTAATCCCGTTAGAAACTTGCGGAAAAGCAGTTACAACATTTTTTTACGTCATTTGAACTTAAGTTTAATAACGGCTGAAAGACAGACAGCAAAACTTATAGGCTCTTGTTATTTACTAAATACATAAACATGACTCCTTATCTCTCTGATACTCAAACAATATACAAGTCACCCAAAAAGAACAGCTGGTGATCATAGTGGTGTGCGTTTTCCTTCTGAAAACTCAGAGGTGGAAATCTGAAAAGCAGCTAACTAGTGCTAAAATCTTCTAACGAAATTTGCTTTCCGTGTGAACGTGTCTATAAATCTCTGTAATGAGATTCGAAAAATGTACGATTTACTCAAATTAATCAAGCTGAAAGAACTACTCCCGATGAACTAATTGTTCGCCTCAGATCCAGTCATATTAGATGCGGATAATTATCCAGTGTTTATCCATTTATCTAAAAGGTATTTAATATTTTAGTGAGAAACAAACCAGTTCAGGTCGTGGCCATATTTTCCACCATTGGTCCTCAAAGTAACTCAAAAAGCTGATACAACAATTTATCTGAAAAATAAAAGAATGGAACTGGCTACGAAGCTAAACAACACCAGGCCTAAGTTTGAGTCGTCTAAATCCGCGAATTAAATAAATAGTAACTCGTGCGTTTCTACTGAACAGGCACGAATTTGAAGATCGATGTTGTTAAGAGAGTTTATCTTGCCAAAGATAGCACGAAACTCCCAAAACGTAAAATTTTGTGTGACCTTATCTTCAGAATAATCTCAAAGTAGGTTTTACCCAAATAAAAAAAATACATTTGTTGAGTTTTGCACGCAAATTTACATTTTCATGCCTATGAAACAGTCGCGAAACCGTAGTTGACACTGGTCATATTTCCGGACTCATGAACTAATAAGGTATTTATCTGCGTTTTGTTTGTAATTTCCACAGATGAAGCGGTTGATATAACCCTGTGGCCCTTCCTCTTTGAGTAAAAATATTTTTAAAATTAAGAATTTGCTGATGTAAAAGTAGTAGGGGTGACATAAATTAAATGATCAGAGAAAACACAGTTGTCAATGAACTCGATATCGTTCACTGAAGACACTTTCGCCGCACTTCAATGTTTTTAAGAGTCAAGTGAATGTTTTGATAGATATATCTATCTTACTCGTGTTTGTTAGCGATCGGAAGTAATCATGCAGAACTCGAGGATGAAATCAAGTAATCGATTCAACTAAAATCATATCGTCGCAGTAGTAGGAATCGGTAAATAATTCAATTAAACTCTGAAAATTAATTTCTATAAACAGAGTTTCAGTGAATAATAATGGTTGGCTTAATTTGTTTACCTTGGGATATGAAAAATTATACTGAACAGCTGGTCCGGTGTAGTTGCCACAGAAGCTTGCAAGGAAAGCAAAATTCTGCAAAAAGGAATCTATTACGATGAAAGAACTGCATGTGCAGTCCAATAATTTCAGAAAAGTTGATGAAAGGAAATCATACAGAAGAACATAGAATTCTATTACTAAAGAAGTTTTTCACGTAAAGAACAAGAATTACTTACGTAACCGTCCAGATCAAGATGTCCTTCTCGCACAAAAGACGAAACACATGATATCTGTGCAAATGCGATCAAGAAAGCAGCAAACTTAAAGGAGTAAATCATTGCTTTTATACGCTCAAGACACGCCAAGAACAAACATACTCCGATCGTTATTTCACATTACACACTTCAGTAAAGCCTCAAAATTTAATTATTCATGGCTGCTTAATAAGTCACAAATATGCAAATTTACAACACAATACACTAGCATACTCTTGATTACAGCTATAGTTTCATAAATTTGTAAGCAACTAAAATCTGCGCAAAGATTTTAAGGATGTTGATGAAGGGATGGAAAACCTTTAAGTAGATGGAACCGACTCTCACAGAAAATAACACATTCCAGAACTTTGATTCCTTTTACTTTCAAATGCAAATATTACTTATCCGTAACCTGAACAAAATAAACTAAGAAACTTTATCTCTCCCCAGAAAAACATAAATCTTAGATGAGGTCTTCAGTCAAGTAACAGATCAAAGATGACGTCAAAATGCTGCTAATGATGACGTCACCTATGCGTGTGTCCTCCAATAGATCATTTGTAAAAACAATTAAAACGCGTGTATAATCGTGGATAGACACAATTTTTATTGCACCTTTGCTTAAAAACTATAGTACAACATATCATTTATAACATAGAATTAAAACATCAAATAGCGCGAGTTCGATTTGAAATCACAAGTCAAGTCCCGGTGTTAATTTCCCTACAATTTTAGTGTTTAACTTTGAAAAACCTACAAATCTGATTTTTTCAACTTTCTAGTTTTCCAATCTAATTCACAACGAAAAAAAGAAAAAAAAGCTAGTGTGATTCCTGAGTGAATCACACGGCTCAAAGCTAATCAGATTGCCCTCGAAGGAGTATGTTACAATGCTCAAGTTCAAGAACTAAAACGTCGTCTAATTTTGCAGTTTCACAACTATTTACCACTAATTTGTTTTCTTTACGTCAAAAAACAACCAATAAATTTCCTCCATGTTATGTTTAGTAAATTGTACTAAGTTGTAATTAATGTTGGTTATGAAAAGATTGGTGCTGACTTGAAGTAAAATATACTGTTTAAGAAAAGTCGACAAGGAATACTGGAATTTCATCCAGAGCACGTTTCATTGCTGCATCAGATCATCATCCGAAGAGCCTGGATTAGCCTTTGTCTTCATTTAAGCGCCATTTGGAAGCTCTCAAAGGGTTTTGCATCATCTTTCGTCAGATCGATGGAGTCCTGGAAAATAAAAAGAAAAGAAACTCTTCGCTCAAGAGGGCGCTGATTCGTCTTTACTCTCAGCTTAATGTGACGTGTTGGCGAGATTGGTGGGCCTAATGATTTTTCTTCAAGTTCAGGAACCCTTTGACAAGCGAAGTCTGAGTTTTGTTCGGTTGAAAATTAAAAAATACATATATACATATATACACACATGCATACATGCACCCATACACGCATACATACATACATACATACATATATATATGAAAAGTTCTGTCTGAAGAGCGCTTAGGCGCGAAACTCTGAGTCACATAGAATCGATGCGTCCTCTTTAATTCTGTAACTTACGTATACTTAGCTCTGCTACCACAGCATTGAGCACTTTATGCCAAGGTAGACTCTAACCCCACATTCATTTATATATATATAATTGAAGCTCAATAAGTCGCGCAGTTTAAGTGATAGTCTTTTTTTTTCCGGTGATTGATTTTTTTAGTCGATATAACTTGATTCTATGCTGCATCTAACCTGTTTTGAACCAGGACTGTCTGGTTTCTCTCCCAGGAACCCTTTGACAAGCGAAGTCTGAGTTTTGTTCGGTTGAAAATTAAAAAATACATATATACATATATATATATATATATATATATATATATATATATATATATATATATATGCATGCTCACTAGTTTTTCTAGTTTGAGCACTCTGGCATGGCTTAGATGATCCCACATGTGTGAGATCACTTGGGGTGGCTATATGGCCTTACCTCCATCCCAGCATCAGCACCGCACTAATGAGGCCCAGAAGGCCGAAACAGTACTGTCTGCAGTTAGTTATATATATTTATACATAAGTTAAAGAATTAAAGAGGACGCATCGATTCAATCGATGCGTCCTCTTTAATTCTTTAACATATATACACTTTAATTCTTTAACATATATTAATTTTAATTTTAAACCCCTGAAGAGTGAAACGATTCACGAAACAGGCTTGTCGGGAAATGTAGTTGCGTCCTTTTTTCCTCTCATAATATTTATTCTGCTCTGCTTCAACGTATTGAGCACTGTTCCACGCGAAAATCGACTTGCAGACTTCCTATATATATATGTATGTATGTATTATTGAAGCTCAATAAGTCGCGCAGTTTAAGTGTTTGTCCTTTTTGTTTCGGTGATTGATGTTTTAGTCGATACAACTTGATTCTATGTTGCAACTAACCTGTTTTGAACCAGGACTGTCTGGTTTCTCGTAGGTCTGATCACACGTCACAATGCTTCCTGGGATCTGTTGGTGATCTGTCACAGGGTTCCCATTGTCTATGACACTTTCGTCCTCCATGCAGTGACCATGATTGTGATGCTCTTCTGAATCTTCCATTAAAGTCTCGTCATGTTTGGAAATCTGGAATGGAATTAGGTAATTACAACCGTTTACCTTCAATTCAGCCTTAAAAAGAATAGCGTACACAATAGCGTTCACAAGATCGCATTAACTTTCATCAACGGAGTCATATAAACACCACAGTAAGGCGCGGCTAAATTGTTGGTCCATTACACAGGGGTGTAGCCAGGATTTTTCAAAAGGAGGGGGGAGGCATACTGTGTCACACAGAGGGTACTCCACGCTGTGTTTACTTAATGTGACAAAGGCTCACAAAGGGGGAGGGGTCACGGGTCACGCCCTTGTAACATAGCTGATTAAGACACGTGTTTTACGAGTTGAAGACTAACTCCACTTCATTCGAGACAATTATTAAGCCATAGCAAACTATTCGTAGGGTGAAAGTCCTATAAGAATACTAGAAATAGTTACCCTTCTTTCCTTCAGTTTTTCCATTTTACTCAGCGAGAATGCATTGCCTTGCTCACAATCTCTATAGAAATAAACAAAGAGAGAAAGAGGTAAACGGTGGATAGAAAAAGACAATGATTTGAAGACGAAGAACGGGGTGAGAACATAGAAGAGAAAAAAAAACCCAAAAAGGCGATGCTCTTACCCACGAGAATGCATGGCGTGTACAAAGCTCTGGAAAAAGAACAACGCAGCGAAGTGACGCAGATTAAACACAAGAAAAAATTGTATACTTACCTCTTAAAATCTGTAAAGTAATTCGAGAGGAAAATATACCATTGCTTTGATTATGTTTCATGCAAGAAAGCCTCAGTAACGTTGGTTGAAGTGAAACCGTAAGTGAAACGCAATTTGTGCCTCGGTCAAGCGAGTGTATTATTTATTGAAAGGGGAACAAAATGTTTTCGAGAATGCTATTGAGTAAAATGGTCTATTTCAGACCAATGGAGATCTGGTTGTCGTGGTTGGCATACTTACCCGTCAAAATCTGTCACTTTCAGACCGCGGCAGCGAGTGACTGAAAAGCAATAGATTATTCAAGCTGTTATTTACTAATTTAGTTGTTCATAACTAGTGAAGTCATAGGAGAACATCCATAATTCGATGGTTTTTTTGATATGATACACAACAGCAAAGCCTCAGAATTTAATTATTCGTTACAACATAATACACTGACATAGATAATTTTCAGTTACTCGTGATTACGTTGTAAGCAACTGAAATCTGCGCAAAGATTTCAAGTTTGTTTTTCACTACTGTTTAATAGATGGAAACAGACCCTCCCGCAGTATGATTACTTTGGTTTCAGTCTCACGATAACTTTTCAAAATGTACTATCTAACAATTATTAACGGAACTGGATGTAAATATCCACTCACCGACATTGTGGCGAGTAATGGTTTTAGTATATGCCGCATAGAAACCAAAAAAATTTGTTTGTCTATGTCAGCATACCAAAAATGGTCGGAGATTAAATTGTTGGCAGGCGATTTTGTCTCTTCGGCTGCTCGAAGTAGAATAGTACTTACTGATCTCATCCGAACCAGCCAATCACTGCGCGCGAAAGAACACTATTCACCTGCCGTGTGATATATACTAAAATCGAAACCAAAAAGATCCACTTACTCTTTTTAGATGCTTTCCAGGACAGGAAAAAAATTATAGGCACTGTGAATGCCGGCAAGATAATCCACAGAAGAAGAAGGTAAGTAAACGTATCCTTTTTGCTTTTTCTCTTGGTGCTAGATCCTTTTAATTTTTAATGAGAAAGGTAGAATAACATCTCAAATTCATTTCAAACAGAGATAAACACTAGATAATAATTAGAGCAACTGTCGCCCCATGTAAGGGAAGCAGTTTGAGAAAAAGAAGGGATCCAAGTCGGAGTTATGATGTAAGATTCGTCTAGAAAGCAAACAATAGATGCTCAAGTCGCTTGATAGGAACAGAGAAACTGAACTCAATTGACCGCTCTGTGCACCGCTACAAAAACTGATAACACACTGATAGACATAAATCTATTTAATTTTTTTTGCAATTTCTTTATCGTAGTAAACAACGGTTCTCGAAAAATTTCTAAACCTTATGGACAGTAAAAGGATAAAATATTTATCTTGTGTTATAACAGGTAACTCCGTCAGAGATACCACAGTGCTGCTTGACAATTCTACAAGATAGTTACAGATGACTGTGTCTTAGAACGGGCACGGATGGCTCTGATAACTGAATTAGGTCAGATCACTTTTCTTGATAATGAAAAAGAGAAAAGAGTCAAACTTTAAGGAAACTTTGCTTTTTTTTTGCCGATTGGCTGTACTGAAGTTCGGAGACTGGGATGAGAAGGGTGGCTGGTTCGCGGATATATGATTATCGCTTCATCAACTTTCAATAAAAGACAATTTATATCAATTAACGAGGTCTGCACTCGACTAATTGAACCGTAGTACATGACCTTAATCTACAGTTTTCTACATCAATAGGTCAGTGACGAGAAATATCGCCTCTCCATGCATGTGGATGAAAACAAGGGCATTACAAGGCTCCTCCTCCTTTTGAGTTAAGAAAGTGACTTGGTGCTCTGTCTTCTTCTTCCACGTTTTTATTTCATGACTTAAAAGGCAAGATCGGCAGTATTTGAGTCCCTACCTTCTGAAAGGAAGTACGTAGTGTGCCGTAAAGTTACGGCAGCACTGGACTCTGTCGTCGTGCTTTCTTCTGAAAAAGTGAGATTTGATTTAAAAAAAGATTAAGCCTTAAAAATGATTTTGTTTAAAAGAAAATTTTCCATCAATTAACGAGGTCTGCACTCAAATTATTGGACTGTAGTATATGAGCTTATTAATCTGCAGTTTTCTACATCAATAAGCGATGAGAAATATTGCCTCTCCATGTGGATGAAAAGCAAGGGCATTGCAAGGCTCCTCCTCCTTTTGAGTTAAGAAAGTGACTTGGTGCTCTGTCTTCTTCTTCCACGTTTTTATTTCATGACTTAAAAGGCAAGATCGGCAGTATTTGAGTCCCTACCTTCTGAAGGGAAGTACGTAGTGTGCCGTAAAGTGACGGCAGCACTGGACTCTGTCGTCGTGCTTTCTTCTGAAAAAGTGAGATTTGATTTAAAAAAAGATTAAGCCTTAAAAATGATTTTGTTTAAAAGAAAATTTTCCATCAATTAACGAGGTCTGCACTCGAATTATTGGACTGTAGTACATGAGCTTATTAATCTGCTGTTTTCTACATCAATAAGCGATGAGAAATATTGCCTATCCATGTGGATGAAAAGCAAGGGCATTACAAGGCTCCTCCTCCTTTTGAGTTAAGAAAGTGACTTGGTGCTCTGTCTTCTTCTTCCACATTTTTATTTCATGACTTAAAAGGCAAGATCGGCAGTATTTGAGTCCCTACCTTCTGATGGGAAGTACGTAGTGTGCCGTAAAGTGACGGCAGCACTGGACTCTGTCGTCGTGCTTTCTTCTGAAAAAGTGAGATTTGATTTAAAAAAAGATTAAGCCTTAAAAATGATTTTGTTTAAAAGAAAATTTTCTATCAATTAACGAGGTCTGCACTCGAATTATTGGACTGTAGTACATGAGCTTATTAATCTGCAGTTTTCTACATCAATAAGCGATGAGAAATATTGCCTCTCCATGTGGATGAAAAGCAAGGGCATCACATCGCATCTTGATTTGAATGATCACCGGTTTGACCTTCAGAACCTACCACATTATGACATCTCTCTGGCTTTCTTCTGTCTGTCTGTTTAAACTCTCTGTCTTACTACGAAAGACTGACTTAAGTAATGTTTACGTTAAACTAAACGATTAACTGACTGAATGACAGACCAACTGACTGACTGACTGACTGACTGACTGACTGACTGACTGACTGACTTATTGACTGACTGATAGACCGACTGACTGACCGACTGATTGATGACTGACTGATTGGCTGACTGATAAGTGAATAGAGGGGGTAAGTTTCTGCAGAAACTGTGGTGCTGCGTCTATCGCTCTTACGAAGGGCTAACGCACGAACCGTCAGCTTTGAAACTCTTTACGTTGGCCAATTTACATCATCAACTCAGTTGATAAAACCAAATTTATTTTGACTTATTGACTGACTGCCTGACTAACTGACTGACTGTATGACTAACTCGTAATTACTGGCTGGCTGACTTACTGGAAAGCTGGCTGGCTGTGTGGCTGATTGACTAACTGTTTATGTGAACTACTGTCACGGGCAATGACAAGCTGTTTAATTAACGAAATTTGTATTCCTTACCTGCCTTAAGCGTTCTAACAGTGCCATTTGCGGACTCTCCATAACCTACAATATTTCTTGCTTGTAAGAAAACGATATAAGATCTGTTTTGTTTCAGATTTTGAGAGTTGAAGAACGTTTGTTTGATTCCATGATACTGCTGTATCATTCGGTAGTTTTCCTCAAGTATTGTAATTTTGTAATCAAATATACCACCATCAGTGTCGTCTTGTGGCGCATCCCATGACACATTGACGGACTGCACATCTGAGGTAAATTTGTTTATAACAGGCGGCCCTGGTGAGTCTAAAAAAATATTAAATAGTAAAATTGATTTCATGGCAGATAAAAGTTAACAATCATGTATCTTAGGTGAAGCAGAGCAATTTTCAAATGGCTTCCGAAAGAAATCACTGATTTTGAAGGATCGTCTCTAGTTTTCCTGCACCGCGTTTTCTGATTGAGGTCTCCCCCTCTCAGCCAATCAGATCAGCGGCCAAGCTTAAAGCCAATAACACACACCTACGTTAGATTGTTATTGACGCTTTCATAGTCAGCATCATCTGTTTCTCATTGATACTTTCATAGTCAGCATTAGCTGTAATGATTATTTTGGTTCATGATATTCAGTTGAAAAGCACTATTGAGGAACATGTTCAACAAACTGACAAGAAATAAGCCCTGCTCTAATTCTTTCTTTTAAGGCCTCATCACAGAGGCCAAACCATCAAAAATAAGACCCTTGAACGTTTGGGAATGCCAATGAATCCTTCATGACGTTTGAACGATTTGCTCCCTTAGTTCTGTATTGTACCAGTGTTGACAATGCGAAGAAACATATCATGAAGCGATGAGATGTTATTGAAAACTTACAGGAAGTAGTTTAGTTAAATTTCGAAACGTAGCATAAACTTGTAACTAATATAAAACTTATTTTAGAGACTTTTAGCAGTGAGTGAGACTTTTCAGCAGAAACAGAAACAGCTAAAAGTAAATAATAGTGTTAACACTTACAGAGGCGCTCCACTGTAATATTATACACCATTGACCCTTTCTCGTTTTCAGCTTTACACGAGTACAAACCAAAGTCACCCATAGTCTTTGGAATCAGCGTCAGTGTACTCATGCCACGCATTAAGTTAACCCCGGCTAACAGTGGTTGACCATGTTTTAACCAGGTAAAATTTGCAGACGGATTAGCATCTACTGCACACGTTAAGGTTGTCGTGTGGTTAATCCAGGATTTTATGAGAGGATCTGTAGTTGCTGTCTTGTTAATATAGGGTTTATCTGAAATAAGAATTTATTTCAGAAACCAAAAATGGCACAACGCTTGGACAGGGGAGGGGGGTGGGGGTGAGGGATAGACAGGTTTTGTTGATAGAGATATCCTATCTCAGCTTCCTATAAGGGTTTTGAAATATCCCACAATGCTTTGCTTTTATTGACAACCATTTTACTCCTTTTACTAAGGTGAAAAAGGGTGTCCAGGTTTCTCCGGTAACTGGATTCCCAAGAATCCAGTGTGACTAGGAGTTCATCGCCTTTGAGAAGGCCTTATCACAGAGGCCAAACCATCAAAAATAAGAGCCTTGAACGTTTGGGAATGCCAATGAATCCTTCATGACGTTTGAACGATTTGTTCCCTTTGTTCTGTATTGTACCAGTGTTGACAATGCGAAGAAACATATCATGAAGCGATGAGATGTTATTGGAAACGTACAGGAAGTAGTTTAGTTAAATTTCGAAACGTAGCATAAACTTGTAACTAATATAAAATTTTTTTTAGAGACCTTCAGCAGTGACAGAAACAGAAACAGCTAAGAGTAAATAAAAGTGTTAACACTTACAGAGGCGCTCCACTGTAATATTATATACCATTGACCCTTTCTCGTTTTCAGCTTTACACGAGTACAAACCAAAGTCACCCATAGTCTTTGGAATCAGCATCAGTGTACTCATGCCATGCATGAAGCGAACCCCGGCTAAAACTGGTTGACCATGTTTTAACCAGGTAAAATTTGCAGACGGATTAGCATCCACTGCACACGTTAAGGTTGTCGTGTGGTTAATCCAGGATTTTATGAGAGGATCTGTAGTTGCTGTCTTGTTAATATAGGGTTTATCTGAAATAAGAATTTATTTCAGAAACCAAAAATGGCACAATGCTTGGACAGGGGAGGGGGGTGGGGGTGAGGGGTAGACAGGTTTTGTTGATAGAGATATCCTATCTCAGCTTCCTATAAGGGTTTTGAAATATCCCACAATGCTGTGCTTTTATTGACGACCATTTTACTCCTTTTACTAAGGTGAAAAAGGGTGTCTCAGGTATCTCCGGTAACTGGATTCCCAAGAATCCAGTGTGACTAGGAGTTCATCGCCTTTGAGAAGGCCTTATCACAGAGGCCAAGCCATCAAAAGTAAGTGCCTTGAACGTTTGGGAATGCCAATGAATCCTTCATGACGTTTGAACGATTTGCTCCCTTAGTTCTGTATTGTACCAGTGTTGACAATGCGAAGAAACATATCATGAAGCGATGAGATGTTATTGAAAACTTACAGGAAGTAGTTTAGTTAAATTTCGGAACGTAGCATAAACTTGTAACTAAGATAAAATTAATTTTAGAGACTTTCAGCAGTGAGTGAGACTTTTCGGCAGAAACAGAAACAGCTAAAAGTAAATAATAGTGTTAACACTTACAGAGGCGCTCCACTGTAATATTATATACCATTGACCCTTTCTCGTTTTCAGCTTTACACGAGTACAAACCAAAGTCACCCATAGTCTTTGGAATCAGCATCAGTGTACTCATGCCATGCCTGAATCGAACGCCGGCTAAAACTGGTTGACCATGTTTTAACCAGGTAAAATTTGCAGACGGATTGGCATCCACTGCACACGTTAAGGTTATCGTGTGGTTAATCCAGGATTTTATGAGAGGATCTGTAGTTGCTGTCTTGTTGATATAGGGTTTATCTGAAATAAGAATTTATTTCAGAAACCAAAAATGGCACAATGCTTGGACAGGGGAGGGGGGTGGAGGTGATGGATAGACAGGTTTTGTTGATAGAGATATCCTTTCTCAGCTTCCTATAAGGGTTTTGAAATATCCCACAATGCTTTGCTTTTATTGACAACCATTTTACTCCTTTTACTAAGGTGAAAAAGGGTGTCTCAGGTATCTCCGGTAACTAGATTCCCAAGGATCCAGTGTGACTAGGAGTTCATCGCCTTTGAGAATATTTGAATGTATTGAGAGCTCATGGTATTACCAGGAACATCTGGAAATTTTGTAGCTGCAGGCGTAAAATGACTCTACCACGTCGTTTTTAATATTTTAAAGTTAGTTAAAGTGCAAAGCACATGATATGCCTGCTTTGATCCCCTTTCCTGTTTCTATGACTCACGAGTACATACTTAAACCCTAACTCTGTGAAAGGGATGAACAGTATTGGAGAAAAGGAGTTAATTTCAGTTAACTTACATCGTACGACCCTCACTTGAATGATGTACCACGCGGAGCCAGCTTGGTTCGCTGCTGTGCAGACATAAGTTCCAGCATCTCGCAATTCTATTCTTGGAATTTGAAGCGTAGACGTTGAGGTGCCGTTTTGTAGCGTTTTATCATCTTTGACCCATAGGACACCTGGGGTAGGGTCACCTATTGCGTCACAATGTAGTGTGACGTTAACTCCTTCTTCAACATCAATAGTCTTATTGGATCGATCGGTTATGGTCGGTGGAACTAAAACAATGTAGGCGAGGGAACAACAAAATATGGTCAGTTATATCATTTACTTTAGTACGTTACGTAATATTTTACTTCAACTCCGCTCCGCTCTTCTCACGAGGAACGAGTACGAAATATCGAGTTGAAATAAACGGGATAGGTTTCTAAAGAAATTCTGGTGCTGCGTCGGCGGTGTGTACTACAAAGAAAGTCCAGCCCTGATAAATGCTGTAACAACACACGTGAAAAAATACGCTAACTTTTCACGTGTGTTTGATGTCACGGCCAATCAGCTAAGACACGTCACTCGCCTTTCTTGCCACTCTGTCATATTGACGAAAGAACGGCAAAGCTTTCATGCACCATTCTCAAGCTGACTTCGTTTGTCGGGTGAGTTTTTCTTGGATGATGGCTGCTAAAACCCAGAAAAATTCGTATCGCATATAGGCAGTGACGTTCAAAGGTTTCTAGAAGGGGAAGAAAACCAGACTACGGAGAGAAAAACCGAGTTATTGAACTCAGTGGTTTTAGTAATGTTCAATTTCTCGCGGCTGAGAACAAAAATCGACCATTGGAAGATATTACTAAGAGAAGTTCCATATCTCCCCGCACCCATGTATTATTCTCTATTTATTCATTGATTTCGTAAAGTGAATCAGCCACCGAAAACAATTTGTTAAACTAGCGTTTCGAGTGTTAGCCCTTCGTCAGAGTGAATGGTAAAACCAAGTTATCTGGCTTAAATTTAACACCGGTAAACCATTGAGAATGCTCATACTCACTGAGAACGGCCAGTTTTATAGGACCACTCCTGTAAACTAACCCGTCCACATACGCTACACAACCGTAAGTGGCAGTTTCATCTAATTTGGTGACATTCTTTAAGATGAACTCAACCTGACAGCCATGTTTACTGATATTTCCCGCCCAGCTCAATCTGGATGTCAATGAGTCATCGAGGTCTGAGTTGAAAGCTTCTCTCCGGTCTTTAAAAATGGTGATGTATTTATTCCGAATCTGGTTGCGGTTTGTATCCGTTTCTCCCCAAATGATTCTTTCAAACTTAAGCGACGTTCCAAAACTGAAATCCCACGAAAATATGGCACTGGATCCCAAACTTGCAGACACAGTAATAGGAGGCTCCTTTGTAAATTTTGGTTCTAAAAGGGAGAGGTGTCTTTTTAATTTCTAGCACGGCCGGACAAAGCAGCAGTTACAAGATAATAAACTGCGAACGTTTTAAGCTATGCACATTTTCTCTCAAATGACTTTGCCTCTACGGCGACCTTATTGAAACTTATGAGTTGGGAGAGAAAGGCGTACATAAAACGATGTGAATGGGGCCGGAAGGGAACAAGGTCCTCTTTTTTTTACCCTTCCCCTCCCGTACTTCAAACCCTCCTCCCTGAAATGAAGATTTTTATGGATTCATCTGCTTTTTTTGGACAAGTCTCTTTAAATGAGAGGAGGAACTATCAAGTGGTGGGGCAGGGGGCGGAGGGGGTTAGCAAAGGCTCTTAAACCGGGTGGGTTAATATGCATGCTTTGTCTGCTGACATGAACGATGCTCTACGCATGTACGTCTTGTTAACTATGTCGAAAGCCGCTGGCTGCAGACTGAATTATACCGCCAGTCATCGGTAGTATGGATAATTTTTGTGCACCAGTGTCTGCCTGAAATCGAGAAACGAACCCTCGCGCTAAATTAAGCATGCATAATTACTGCTAATTTTTGTCGCGCAGGACTGCAACACGACTACACGAATTCTTTATTTTGGTCGTGCTGACTAGATAGACTGAAATCGTTAAATAAAAACCTCGTCGAGTTTATCAGAGAAAGCCAAGTACATTACATCATATAGTTTTGTTCAACTCGAGAAACTTACTGCTGGCAGTGAGTCTGAAACACAGGAAACAACAGAGTGTAAATACTGCGGCTACTGCAACAGACGACATCACTCTCGGAATTAGAGTCTGTAAAGAAGAAAATAGATAGTGTGAGAATTTATCTTGACCACTGATGATCCAAAGCAAATTTCGAAGCTTTGCTAGCTCAAAGCATTCATGCTTATGCCAGCCCTTCGTGCTGTGGGTAACGAATAAAGACTTATTGAGGTAATTTTTTTTTTACTTTTCTTTAATTATTCAGTTCCGACATTGTGATATTTATCGAAGTTAAAAAAAAAACATTCCACCTCTCCAGACTGTCAAAACTTTGCAACAATTGCCATGGCAATTGAGTTTGAGTCAGAACACATGTCACCGGAGGCGGAAGAAGTCGAACCCAACAAAACGGCTTCCTGGTCAACTTTCTTCTGAAAGCAATTCCAAAAAAGAACAAGTTACCAAACAACTTTAATTTCCTTGTTGCACTTTTCTATTTGCCTTCACTTTTCTTTTCGGTTTTTAAAAACCAGGCTCACATCAAGCCGTCAGCTTTCACTACGGGATTTGGCGCCCAGGGCGGTATGATTAATATCACTTACTAACCTCGTTTTCTCGGTCTGTACTGTAAGTTATGGAACTAGCTTTTTTCGCACGGACTTATGGCCCAAGCGCGAAGCGAAGTTCCATGACTAACAGAAAGGACCAAGAGAAAGGGGTTATTAAGATATTTATTTTATCCCAGGTTTCAAATGGAGGGAGAAGATTTAAAATCAAACAAAATTTTAATTTAGCGCGCGGCACAGTGAAATACGGCCCGCTAAATTGACCAATCATAGCACACCTGTCCCGTTTGTGCTTGGCAACTTTTGATTAACTTTTGACGTTTGGAGTAAAATTTTGCGGTTCTAGCAACCTCGAGCAATTTTTGCCCCTCTGAGCAACGTTTGAGCAAACTATAGGTTTAGAGCACATATCAAGCACATAATACTCGATTCAGTAGAAATACTAAACCACGAAGCAAGTAATATGAGGTACAGTGGAACCTTGATCTGACGAAGTGTTAAGGGACTGGAAAATTGGTTTGTTATATCGAGGGTTTGTTATTACGAAAACCTCGAGTTGATAAATTTGCAAAAAAAGATCCGAAATGTTCGTCATATCGGGGGAGGGGATAGTTGTTATTTAGTTTTATTTGATTTGATTTGATTTTTGTGGTGCGAAGTCGCGCTAATCAGCATTTTGGGATTGGAACGATTACTGTAAATAACATTTGTGCATTAATGTCCACGTGACGCTACAGCACACCGTACAGGATGTACATTACTTTTAAAGAACGGAGGACAAATTTCAATGGAAGTAGCTGGCAAACGGAGGAAAAAAGGGCATTGGACTGTAAATTCCTGCCTCCTATACCTTTACCACAAGAAGCCTTCAAAAATAAAGTAGTTACTAGAAATAATAAGAGAGAAAGAGGATAAAGCGGATCTGTAGATGTAACGAAATCCTAATTATAACGAACACAACCCAGAAACCCAAACGTATAACATACCTTGATATAACGAGCAAATATTAACAAGTGACAGAAGACAAATGCGAAACAGACCAACAAGATTCAAAATCCTTCAATTCTGCAACAGTAGAACCATTTCACAGTCAACAGCTCATCATAAATGCCGACACTGACACTATCGACACATCGATTATCTCGAGGTTCTGTCTGTTCTAACTTCCGGGCCGAAGATTATTGTTCGTCCTACTGAGTACTTCGTTTTATAGAGGTTCTACTGTAACTGAGTAACTCTAGCAGCAAAAAACATATCAAAGTTGACCCGTTATCGGCCTTCGCAGAAGAATTTTCACTTCACTTTTACTGATGCTTGTAAACAAAATTCTAAGTCTACACAAATAACAGCCACGTGGATCGACACGGACCGATAGTTTTACTGAAACGTGATCAATGATATGATCCCCAGATGCGAAGAGCCTGGTGCTTGTTCCGACTACTGCAGTTAAGCAAGGTTAATTTTGAAATACTTAGCCTAAATATATCTTATTCTTTGTATCGAATTCTTCTCAGTCTTCTGATCCTTTAGCTATTTGTTTTCAATCTTTGATCGTATTTGCTGCAATTGGAATATACATGAAACTGAGAATCTGAAACTGAATCCTCTATTGAACACTTCCCAGAATCTTTGTTTAGTCTATGTATACTTAAAAAATATATATATTCTTCACAGCCTACCGCGCGTGTTCCTAGTCTTAATTACTTAAGTAGCTCAGAGATGTTGAAGCACTTTCACGGCATATTTTGTGGTTTCTGGTGAATACGTGTGATATGCCACCGCCTTAGGGTAAGCTTGTGAAATACGAATAAACAAGGCCTTGCCTCAAAGACAGTTAAATTACTGGCTGGACGGTCGATAAAATGATTATGAAAATAGAGTCAGGTCATCGCGCTCTGCCATTAACAGGAAGGGTTGGTTGATTTCAGTTGAATGGTCTTCTTGTTCGCTTTTTTCAGAAAAATTAAAGGTCGACAGCACGCTGCAGGAGACTAGGTTAAACGCATTGATGTATAATTGATCGCATTGATTGTTCTGTGATTTTGATTCTGTAAATCTACTACACGAAAACAGTCTGAAAATACGGTGATGTAATCTCTCTGGGCTACTACTACTATATTACTTGCTGTAGCTGTACAAATGTTCACATTTCCGAAGAGAAGGTTTTTTTTTCGCTCTTACATCCATAGCATCTCAACTAAGAAGACACTGATTGATATGCTGAGCCTTGTCTCTGATCATTTTTCAGTTCTAATTTCCGGTATTCACTGTTTTAAGAGGATTCTGATCACCACAAAAAAGTAGTACTGTTTACCTTTCGATCATATTTACTTTATGCTCACGATATTTTAAAGATTGTTTCCCTTTTCTGTGGACGTCGGAGTTGTCAGCTCTCCAATGGAATGTAGACATGCGATGACAAAAAACGTCGAGTGGAGAATAAAAGACATTACTAAGGTATCATTAATTTGAGATATTCTTAATTTTTTTTTAATGACAGGCAAATCAAATCTACATGAATTATCCATTGCAACACTTTGCTGCACAAATTAGTTTTCCGCTTGTAAGTGACCCGACAAAAAAGAACATTGTTCGTCGAAGATCTAACTTCAGTCCGTGGAGTCTTAAGTACAACAGATTCATTGTGAGACAGGGTCCTAGCGGGCAAATGAGAAATCTTTGGAATATGAAGAGTCTCTGTTGCAGAGATTTCTAGATTAGATATAAATAAAGTTTAATGACATGAGGGGTGAGTAAAGCTGTGGGTCTCCCAGAAGGAATGCGGTTTCCATCACAACTGTGACATGAGAGTTGATTGATCGCAGCATTGTTCAGACCAAATTTATTTCATTACAAATCATCTGAAAGAATCCTAACTTCTTCATCCAACTGGAAACTAGGAGACGCGCGCTATCTTACAAGTTACCAAATAATACTTCACCAAAACGAGAAATCACCGATCTGAAACATCCTTCTTATTCCAAGCCAATTTTTCTGTTTCCTTAACGATTCTCTGTTATCTCGCTAACTCCAGCTGCGATCTTGAGGAAAAAACCAGGCTTTATTTCCCAAAAGAACATATTTCGCCCACCTTGAACAAAGTAGAAACGCCCTAAACTAAGAGACGCGCGCCATCTTACAAGCTACCAAATAATACTTCACCAAAACGAGAAATTACCAATATAAAACAAACCACTTCTTCCAAGCCAAATTTCCTGTTTTCTTAAAGATTCTCTGTTATCTCGCCAACTCTTGCTGCGATCTTGAGGAGAAAATCAGGTTTTATTTCTCAAAACAACATATTTCACTCACCTTGAATAAAGCAGAAACGTCCTAAATATTTTTGGTCAGTTAATGGACCGCTTTTCTATTTCCAAACATAAATGACCAAGGGAAAGTATGTTGCGTGTTGCTGTTGCATGTATGTTCTCATTGTGGGAGGCGCTGGAGGATGGGCTGGAGGTTTGTATCACGCCAATAAGAACCGGTTTGACGGGTTTTTTTTGGCATTGTTTTGACGCGGATGCAACAGGAAGAAGAAGTACGTATTACGTACTAAAATGCGAAAGTTATACACCGCAAAATTGATAAATAGGCCTGAAATGAAATTCTATCTTGTTATTGATTATACGTTGCCTAGCAAAATAACGGTGGCAGTCTTGGCTTAGTTATATCACTCAACACTCGTTCCCGTTTGTCTCATTTGATAAAGAGGGAATCGTTACTGTTTTCATTAAGACAGTATTGCCTTGATTTTCTAATTTTTACAATGATAGACAGTAAATTTCACTTTTCACCCACATTTACTTCCAACCTTTTCTTTTGAACCAGAAACAAAAATGATATACGTTTAAAACACATGACATCATCCACCCTTGTCAAATGTAATAGCATGATCATTTCAATTGCAATGCCTTCTTATCCCAACGTTACTTTGTTTCTTTGCTTCATTAGCAAACACTGAACTACTGCTTGTACTCTAGATACGACAATCAACCACAAAATTCCCTAAACCAGATAACATTAAACATAATCCAAAAAATCATGTGTCAATTCACGAGTTTGCTCATAGAGCACTTTGATTTTTATCACAATACGTTTTAACCGTAGAAGATAAGAGGCTTATCAGAACTACAGCATATAATTACCCTTCCAACAACCAAAACCTAATCAAACAAAGCTGTCACTCATTTTATGGATGCCCGCACGCCCTCAATGTAGCTTTTCGGCTTCGACAGGTCTTTTCCTTCGGACTGAAAAGTTTACTGCACACGTATGTTTATTCTTGAAGAGTTTGAATTAAATCCTTAAAAAAATTTCACTTTTGTTGTCTTCATTGTTTGAAGGAGGATAAAGATACTTGAGCTTGAATGTTTATTCATGCTGTGATCGGAGCATGAGTCTATGAGTCCAGATTTTCTGCCGGCTGAGATATCAAAGAAGAGAAAAACAAGATCAGCTGGATTTAACAACAATATGAGCGACTTGGCGTAGTCCTGAATATTCATTGTTGGCGAATACTTCTACAAGGCACTTACGGACTGTCACAATGAAAGTAATTTCTCTTGGCCAGTCATCAATCTTTGAGTAAATTATCCCTTTCTTTTTTCACCACTTATCAAAAAAAACATCTCAGATCCTCTTCAATTTTCCCAAGTTCCGCTTTAGCAAAACCATTGTGAACTGTGGACGTTCATCAAAGTTCGGTGTGGAATTAATTGTATAAAAAGGCGTTCCACTGGGATACACATCTTTCATCGTGAACTTCACTTGGGTCAGCCAGGTTAAGGTTACCTTTCCTATACTTAATTTGTTTTTTCGTTTTTATTAAGGAAAAGCATTCTGTATAATGTGGTTTTCCTACGGTACAAATACTTGGCACAGCATTCAGATAAATAGTTTGGAAGAATATCAAAAGTACTCATTTTTGCTTCGCTTATTCCAATATGCGTGGAAGGGAAGAAAGACAACCTGGGGGACAATGACTTCTCGGAAGCCTGGGGATTGTGCCGCTAAGGCCTAGAGACCCTGACTCTGTATGAGAAAATGAAAAAAAACACTTCTCTTCACTTTTACGACAAAACTTGTATGGATTGTGGAATATTGACATCTTAGAGAACTACGAGAGCGTACTTAAAGTGGAATGTGGCGAAAAGTGTTTTTCATTAGTGTCATTATTCCTAAACCTCTTATTGTAAATGTGTAGGTTTCCTGCCCTGCTGGAGATTTTACCGTGAAATCAGTCTCTTAAAACGAACTGAAAGTTATAACTGATATTTACTGAAAGTTACTTCTTGTTTACATCTGTGGAAAATGAAACAAGTTGTGAATGAGAAGAACAACAAGCGTGGCTATCACTAAAATTTGCATTGCTTGTGTACACCGTTGGGCTGTGCAAACGTAATTTCCAAGTGCCTAGGGTGCAATTCAAAACGGACCGGCTGATAAAAGCCTTTTTACTAATCACGCAATCTTGCGACAAAACCAAGCGCAAATTGATCAAAGTTCACCGCAAAGAAGAATCCCCTAATGACGATGCACTTTTATCTCGATCCAATTATCATTTTTCTAATGATCTTCATCTAATTTGCATCGACTACTTTCGTCTTCGTGGCAATTTCTAGTTTTACATCACAGCCTATTCCTCTGACCAAGATCTGAATTCGTACAGTAGTGACTCAATTGTACAAAATGATATTCTTCTCTTACTAAAAGCCAATCAGTCCCACTATTATATCAAATCAAGATAATGCCCTCTGATAAGCTCTCGTGTTCTCATGACCTGTTTGCAAGGTAACAAATTGGAATATTGATAACTTCTGGGAGTTAAAAGGATTAACAAGTTAGTTCTTAGTTAAATCCTTTGAAATGACGCAAACGTTTCCTAACGTCATCAGCGCAGAGAACAATGATGTTTCCTAACCAAACGAACAAGATTTGCATGATTGAAGGTTGTTTCTATTTGTGGGCCACAGAATACAAAAATAAAAGTTGTGGTTGACGTTTAATTCATTGCTGTTTCCACTTTCTCAATTACATACAAAACTATTTGCATCTTCATTGGGAAAAGTAAATTTCACGTTCCTTACATTTTAACTTTGAAACGTCATTTTAAATCATTCTAACAGATTGTGGAAAAATGCCCCTTATTCTTATTTTTGTAACAGTCATATATTAATTCTAACATCAGTTCTTCGAAAATTTTGCTTTATCACCTTTAAACGCTTTCTAATCTATTTTGTGTTTTCCAAAAATTATCAAACCTAACGGACAAATTTTAAAATAAATTGAAAATTTACATTTTCCTCTGCAATATTTAGCGTGTCCGAAAGAAACTATGTGTTAATGGACAATCATGAAAAGATGCAGAGGTAATCCGTCTAATCTGCTAACAGTCAGTCACTGAATGTTGCAGAAATTCTGCAACCTCTCACGCACTGTGTGTTGCAGAAATTCTGCCACCACTAGTCCACTGGATGTCGCAGAAATTCTGCTACCATTTATACACTGGGTGTCGCAGAAATTCTGTGACCACTCATACAGTGGATGTTGCAGAAATTCTGCATCCTCCCATTCACTAGATGTTGCAGAAATTCACTCATGGATACAGGAATATAACAGTTTTTCTCTAACCAGTCAATAACAGATGCCACGAATATTCCGTCAATTAACTTTCAACAGGAATTATGTACCTAAAATAGCACATGGCTTAATGCCACATGATAAAATTCGAATATAAAAATGTTAAAAAAGTAAGCAATACAACATACAATTTAAGTCATATCACTTTATTTTATGATCAGATACAAAAACTGAATGAAAAATATCATTAATTTAATAAAATTGAAGTTTGTTTTACGGCAAATAAGCAATCTACTCTAGCCAAAATATATTAACTAGTCACGATTTCAGTCCTTTGACCTATTTTAAAATATCTGTATACGTGATAAATTGAGAGCAAATATATCATTTAAATCTTGCATTGTCTTGCAAAAGACCACAGGGAAATTAATGCTCAACCTTCTAATGAAAACTTTAAACCGTTCACTATTCAGAGGAAAACTAAATTAACAGTATCACAGATTTTAATTAATATCTCCACCAATGTTTACAGTAGGTAATAATGCTACATGTGTATCTCAATAAGAGGGCAAAAATAAGCCTCTAGGAAAAACAATCCCCTCTCTGTGTCAGCTGCAACTGTTTCCAGAATAATAAAAATCAAACCGTACAATGTTGCCTAATAAGTCGCAAACCAATGAAAAGGATAATGTACCGCAGACCACTCTACAAAGCCATTGTGAGGGCGCCTTCTGGTTTTGGCCGGCTTTTACATTGAAAACAACGACGGAATCCAAGAAATCTGAAATAATTCACTAATTTTTATCGAAGCGTAATTCAACCGAAGTGAATTATGCATCGTATCAATTTTCGCAACAACAAAATTGGCCTAAAATGTGCTTTTATCAAATGTTTGTGGGTTCTACATCTCCATCGAGGACTGAAAACATACAATTCATAAATAAGAGATAGACTTAGAGATGACGATTCGATAAGCTTTTGGTAAAATTGTATTTATATCGATGAGATCGCAAACTTGTACCTGGCAAACTAATACCCCATTCACACCAGCAAAACATGTTTTGTTAAACTGGTTTTCATTGAATGAAAATTATAAACAGAGAACTGATTGATTTTCCATTGGATTCGAGTACTTGCTAACTTGCATTTCCAATGTGCTATATTCAAGTCAAAAATATTCGGCTAAATAGTTTCTATGAAGAAAAAAAAAATTAAACTGTGTTTAACAAAACAACTTTTAAACATGTTTAAGCTTTGGTGTGAATGGGGCATAAGTTTCACTCAGACCATTTATCTTTACCTAATCGCTCTATATTTATCGTTACCCAATCGCTCTGACGAAGGGCGAACGCTCGGAACGTCAGCCTTTAAATTCTTTACAATGGCCAATTTACGTTGTCAACTCAGTTGATAACACTAATTACATTTATCGTTACGATACATTACGACTGAAGTTCGCGTCACCTGTCACACTTGCATACTTCTGACCTCTTGTCAACCTTGAAATTTGAAAAGTTGTCTGAATTGACTGCTTGTGATACTTTGTATTCAGGTGATTTTAACTTTACCTTCAATTTCTAATTGACTCTCTCAATCCGGAATTATTTCTCCATAAATGAAAGATCCTGCATTCAAAGAATTGTTTGAGTCATCGAAGTCAACTCACTGATCTTCATTGGGATGTCTTTCCTCTGGTAGTGATTCCCGAATCGTAAAAATTATCATGGCTCGTAGAACTGGAATATGTTTCCGGTGTCCTCGCCATCATCGGTTGAAATATTTTTGTTCGACGGATACAAGTTAACCCCACTCAGAGTCTGACAAGAGCGCATAGCAAACAAACTGACTAAAGCCCAATTCTA